ATCTCAGTGCACCAAGTAAACTTTTCTTACTCTTTCAGTGGAGATATAAAACAAAAGGCTGTGGCCAAACAAAGCTGGCTTCTGGGCAAGTCTTACGCAAGCAAATATGGTCAACGGGGTCATTTTTTTAAAAAGACGACTGCCCAAAACTCTGTGCTAATTGTTCGAACTAAATGGGGAGAGCATTTGGTTTTAGTCTATAGTGTTTGGAGACTTGCTGGAGATAGTTCAGCATTCAGTGACCTCGACACGGAGGGCGAGCATTCCAGAGCTGCGGAGGAACCGGCATTAAGTAGCAACACTAAAAGAAAATGTCTCCTTAATAAGGTAAGCCAATTAAGAAGCTGAAAGAGAAAGTAATGTGACGTGAATGGGAAATGCCTCAAATTTGGGCCAGTGGGGGAGACAGCATAAGGGCCTTGCGGCGAATGCCATGTATAAGAAGTACACGAGAAGAGGAGGGACAAAGTACTGACAGTACAGAGAGCATTTAAGAACCACAGAGAACCGTGTCGTTTCCCTTCAAAGATGCAAGCACGAGACAAAGTATTGTGACAGATAACCGATTTAAAATAAACAATACAAAAGAAAACAATATTATGCACTTTTAAAGAGTTTTTGTTTTTGACACCCGGTCTGTGTTTGTAACACTGTACTCGGTTTTAAGACCCACAGACCCAATACTGAGCAAGACTGTTCATCAGAGCCCTGGGAAAAAGAGAGAGAAAGCATCCCTATTACAACTGGTCTTACATGGGGTTTGAGGTTTAAAGAGAAATAAAATATTTAAACATTATTTATCAACTGAATTGATTAAAAATAATTAAAAATAGATGAATAAATAAATAAAATTTGCTATTAATGAAATAAAAAAGACAAGCTGTAATTGACATGTAGAATGTAAAAGACATGTGAAAAAAGGGCAGAGAGGCAGTGTCAGGCATTGGGATGTTGGGGAAGAATAGAATGGAATGGAAGCAGAGGCAGGACTGTCACGCTTTGTTTTTCTGCCTGTTGCTCCTGAATGGCAGTAATTAGTTAGCTGGGTGGGGGGAACAAGGGGTGGAGAGAGACCCCAGCCTCCCACCAGGAGACAGAAGGGAGAGGGGATGTGGGACAGGAGAATAGATGTTCTGAGAGCAACAGAAAAATAAGGGCAGGGGTCATTCCTAAGAAACAGAAGAATGACAAAAATTCAGGCACGGTAACAGGGGGCTATGGAGAAACGGGGTGCAGAATGAGGAAAGGAGAGAGAGAAATAGAGATGAGATCACGGTTTCCTATATTTATTATAGTTATATAGTTATTTCAAGCATGTAAGTTAATTCAAGCATGTCCATTTTTTAATTTTAGTTCAATTAAACATTTTAACGAAGACTGTGAGAAGAGAAAAAAGTTGATGCTACAATAAGCCAAAAACAGGAGCAAATTAATTAAAATTGATCAAAATATGAGCTGTTAACCAGGGTTTCTGCAGGTTTTATGAAAGTACATTTAGAACTTCTTAAGACCTTTTTAAGACCAATTAAAGAAAATTCAAGGAATAAATTAAAGGGAACACAATATGTCAACATGTTCTCTAAATATAAATGTCTAAAGAGAACACAATGAGTTGTATTGGCACAGCACAACTTCCAACCAATCTCCAATACAAAAAACTTTGAATGTACCTTCTGATACAAAAACACTGCACAAAAATGATCCTTCTAAGTATTTTTTGTCTTGTTTTTCATTGCAAATTTCTAAAAAAATCTTAAATTAAGATGTTTTCTGGGAAAGTTGTCAAAGTAAAGTGAATTTATGATTTAAAAAAAGGACAAATATCTGCCATTGGGCTCAGAGAAATCAACTTAAATCAGGTACGTCATCGACAGATGCTTGTTCTTGTTTTAAAGTCTCTCCAAAAACAATTCACATCTTCACTCTGCATCAAGTAAATGTATCTTGATTTAAAGTTGTTTAGATATTTGTATCGGAAAACAAGACAAAAATGCTGACAAAAACATTTTGCAGTGCATGCAACATTTAATGCAATGACTTTATGAATTTAAGACTTTCTGCTTAGATTTAAAACCTTTTAAGGTCTTAATTTGTGGAAGGGACATTTTTTTTTTTTTCCAAGACCTGCAGAAACCCTGTTAAACATATTATAGATGGATTCACAACACTAAGTGAAAAGCAGAAGGTTAGTGTGTCATTGACACTGAGGCTGCACATAGATCTACAGTGACTCTCTGAACTAAGAGTCTAAATAAGCTCTTTTTGCACTACAAATCATTATATCTGCACTGTTGTTTAAGCCTCTCAACTCCCACTGCCAGACGACACTGAACAGACACAGCGCATGGTGTTGATGTGTGCTACAGGTGTGTCTCTGTGTGTGTGAATGCGATGAAGTCTTTTATCACAATCAGGTGGATCGAGGAGGTATGTGAACAAACAGTGACCCAGAAAAAGATATTAACACATCAGCCACACAAAAATGTATGAATGTCATTCCATTAAAAATCTAAATATTAAAACAAGTGACACTGTCAAGAATGCTGTCACAACAAGCACAAAATGACATAAAAAAAAACATGTTTATTTTATTTTGATGGTATTTTCAGCAAACAATTCGCCAGTGTCATATGACCCATCATAAATAATCCCAAAATGCTGATTTGGTGCTCAAGTAACATTTCTTATTATTGAAAACAACTGTTGCTTAATATGTTTGTGGAAACCATGATACATTTTTTGTAATACTTTGATGAATAGAAAGTTCAAAAGACTAGCTTGTTTTTGGAAGAAGAAAAAAAGCGTACACTTTTAAAGGATTAGTTCACTTCCAGAATAAACATTCCAGGATTTTTCTCCATATAATGGACTAGGCATGGGCCGGTATGATATTTTGACGGTATGATAACCTTAAGCAAAAAATATCACGGTTTAACGGTATCATGGTATTGTTGTTACAGCTCTAAAATGTGTTAATTTTAAATGTCTGGGTAAAAAAAACAAAAAAACTGAACA